CAACCCAACCTATCCTATGGCCTTATGATCTTTAAGGACCCTTCCAACCCAACCCATTCAAACATCCTATGATCCTTCCGGTTCTTTTCAACCCAAGCCATTCTAGGATTCTGTGACCTCTACAGTTCCTTCTAACCCAAGCCATTCTGTGATTCCGTGATCTTACACAGCCTGAGCTTAAAAAAGTATTATTGAGAGTTTCAATTCAGTTTTTCTCCTGGCAGGAAAATAGGGGGCTCTCCATGGGACCGTTCGTATACGGGGCACATTGGAGCTATGGCCACACCAATGCAGCTGGAGCCCCTTCCCAATCCAAGTTTGGAGGAGACTGTGCCTCAGCAGAGCTGTCTCTGATCTCCAAGCTCATCTCCTGCAGCCAGTTTCACATCAGCTATAGGATTAGCCAAGGAGGAGCTGCAGGGAGCCCAGAGCACTGCAGGTCAACAAAAGAAACCGTGTCTCACAGCAGGCTTCAAACCACACCAGCTCCAGGCACCCAGATCCATGAACTGCAGCCAGGAGCCAGCAGGAAGCCTTGCAGAAAGCAGAGAAACTGGTTTAACTGGGATTCCTGCAGGCAGGTAGAATCACCACTGCCAACTGTGGCTCGTGCTGCTTTTCCACACAGAGAGATGGAGCAGAAAGGTAATAAATGGACTGGGACCAGGCAGATTGAGTCTGGGAACTGCTTCTGCAACATCCCCTCTGGGATTCAAGAAGAATCTGGAAACCTGTGTGCTGAGGACATCTCCAGCAGAGAAAATCTGTTTGTTACGTGCACGCACGCTGAAAAAGCAGCTTCAGAGCATGGACAAGCGCTGAAACAGCAGTATCCCAACAGCACATCCTCCACATTGCTCTGCACGTAGGAGAGGAGCTGTTCTCATGCTGTTCTTGGGGAATTTCAGCTGTGAAGTTGCTTTCTTTAAGCTACTAAAATGCAACAAGCCCTCCTTCAAATAGCAACGCTAGAAGTGAAGGGGAATAACATCATTCCCTTGCACTCAGAGATGAGTGCCTGCAAGGAAAAAGTGCACGGCACACACCAAACCCTGCAGCCTTCCAAATTGGGCATTCATTCTTCCCAAGGAACAGAACTTGAAGACAAACACTTGGTGGAGCAGCTGTGACCCTGGCAGAGCTGCTCTGCCATGGGAACCCTGTGCAGGAGAGCAGGCTGAAAGGTGCTTCCGAGCATCTCCATCCAATGATGCACATGGTTTCAGTCTAAGTGTTAAATATATATGATGAACCTGCTTGCTCCAAGGGCAGGAGGAGCTATCCCAATCTGCTTTACAAAAAGCTTGTAAGAACTGATAAAATATTAAAGGCAGCTATGCAAACAAGGAGCACTTGAGGGCTCTCCATGCAACACAGAGAGAGACGGACCACCAGAAAGCTCTCAGTGTACACAGTGTGGATAGGAAAGCAGTCTTGTGCTCTGTCCTCAGGTCCTGAGCACTAGAAATTCCCCTTCTGAAAAGGTGCTTGCATGTGTTATCATGGTGCCTGATGTCTCGAACCTGCAGCAGAGAGCACAGGCTGGGGCAGAGATCCCTGCCAAAAGAGATGGATGCTGCAAAGTGAAAGCAAACAACGTGGCAGACCTCAAAGATGAGAAGAACCAGCTGAAGGGGGGGTCACAAAATCACACATTTACATGGGAAGGCGGGTGGGAAACAGGCAATCACCAGAAATAAGGAAATGGGATGCTGCCAACAGGCCATATCCCCCTGCTGGCTACTCCCTGTGGCTTTCTAGAAACTGATTTTCCCTAGAGAAGAGTTATTTACCCAGATGAGATGCTATTTCTTGCACAAACCAGTAAAGGGAACCCAAGTTCCTTTGCTATTTGTATTAGTTCCTTCACTGTGACAAGGGTGACACCCTTACTGGGAATTGCAGGTGACCCCAAATCCAGTGGGGATGGGTATCCCCAGGCACAGCATTTGGCAAGCCATCCTGCTTAGGATCACCAAGAAAAGAGATCTTAAAGGACAGCTTGGTTCTGTGTTATTCCATTCCTTGATGGAGAAGAAGGACCTAATGCTAAGCACCACATTTTCTATCTCTGCATCAGTAATATTAACAGATATTTACAAATTCCATGATAAATTCTTACTTGTATGGGTCTCACAGCAGCCACAAACCTTGTGCAACGTTAACTCTAAGCCTGTCTCCTCACTGCTACATCAAGCAACTGCTCTATGTGCCTATAACTAAAAAATGAAGGAAAAAAAGCAATAAATTATGTATTTGCAGATCCTGAGCTTCCCAGAGCAGAGAAGCTGTTACAATCCACTGCCTCAGTTTTAACATGTCCAAGGCTATTTTTAAAAACACTGCAATATCAGGAATGACAATATTTAGCTCTATCCTATACTTGTCACGCAAGCCTGGAACAAGACAGGACACTTGGGTACAGGGAACATGAGACACATTTTAAGCACTTAAACCTCCTCCCAGATCATCTTCACAGCATCTGACTGCCAAGATGGAAACAAGGGAGCAGACTCTCCCATTTAGCCTCCCTCAGGGATGCCCTGAGCTCTTCCCTGAAGCACCTGCTGTTGGTTAGCATCAGTCTCTTTGTCTCTTCCAGGGTGCATCTGTCATTTTTTTCCCCCTGGTTCATTAAAGCACAGAGGACACCCAAAGTGTCCCTTCATGCTGGCCTTGGAGATCTCATCTGACAAACCATTCTGCCTGGAAGCTTGTTTCCTAAGAAGCAGCAGCAATGGGCTCCAGGATAGCAAACAGGGCAGATCTGCAGAATAGTTCTTACCATCCTGTCATGCAGCTGTCAGAGGAATCAAACAGTGTGCCAAATAACTCAGTATTTAAATCAAGCTTGGCTTGACCTCATTTGTAGTTCCACCCTTGGAGTCATGCGGCATCACAACACGACGAGCTGAGGTTTAACTGCTCTGCAGTGACGTGGCACAAGTGATGAAAGGACTCCAGCACCAAACCCCACCTCTTTCTGGGTTACCTGCACTCCCTGAACAGCAGGGATTTCACAATGCTGCTGCCCCATCTCACGTGGGAGGATGGTTACGAGGAGCTGCTCACGAGGAGCTGCTCATGGAGGCTCTCCTTGCTGAGCAGGACCTGCGAACCGTCCCAGCAGGGCTCCCTGGATGAACAAGTCTGATGGTTATTCAGTAACCACAAACCACACAGGTGGTCACAGCCTCTATTCAAGAAAACCTGAAGATGCAATCTGGGCCAAAGAGTGGATTAAATGCTGACTGTGTCCACTGGATCAAGTATATACGTGCGTGGCTTTTGCCACGGCTCTGTTGCCTCTGCTCCTGTCTGCATGCAGCTGATCCCAGCTTGCTGCTGGCTAATTATTTCTGACTTGTCTCATTTGTCCTTCCCACCCCTCTGTGAGCACCAGCACCCTCACAGGCTGTGCCAGGGCTTACCCACCCCCATCAGTTAATGTCCAGCCTAGGCTCCCCTAGCTGAGCTACAAGCCTGTGAGCACCTCCTGCTCACGGTGATTACAGGATAAGTCACTCCTTTGTTCTCTGAAGGCATCCCTGACACATCAGAGCTTACAGCCCCACTCAGTACTCTAAATCAAACTCTCCAATTCTCTTGTCTTCAGAGAGACCTTCAAGACCATCTCTACCCCATTACATCCTTCCAGACATCACTAATTGGTCTGCAGCTCTCTTTAATGGCACTCTCTGAACAGCACAGAGCACTAAGCCTCAGCTGGAGTAGGAGGTGACAAGGAATTTGCTTGGCATTTACTGAAAATTCCTGCTCTGTCACGGTACAGAACTGCTTTCTGCAATGGTATTACTGATTCCTGCCCTCAGATAACTTCCCAAAGAACTGCTACCAAGCTATTTTCTGCACAGTAATCATGAAATGGAGATTTCCACTTAACCTGAGCACTTTTCCTTGCTCCCTCCTCGGTCACATATCTTTCCTTCCCAATTGTTCTCCCATCTCTAAAACAAATGAGGCTGCTGTAAGGGGAATGAATGGGGACTGACAGAAATCTGCAGCAAAGACAGTCCTCCTTCCCCTGGGCTGAGTCACAATCATACTGATGCCCTTACCTTTAATTTTCTGTTTGTACTCTTCTGGTCGGTGGAGGTACATGGCTGCAGCGTCACCATTTAGAGGATCTATAGGGTTAGGATAGGCCAGCAGCTGGGGCAGGAACGATTCAAATATATTGGTGAGATCTGCAAGGGAAAGACAAAGCTGCTCACATCCACTCACCCAGAGCTGGCCTGAATCTCTGCAAGCACCAGCACTGAGACAGCACCACAAAGTTTTGAGGGTAAATGCACTGAAAATCTGAAGTTAAAAGGGACTGCATGGGGGAAAGCAAACAGCACCATGCTTCCCCACCTCACCGAGTTCTTCCCCTGCTTCTGCCTTCTTCTAAAATCACTGTTTCATGTTCCACGACCACAGCACCGTACCTTGAACCCAAAACACTGCCAGTGCTCCAGATGATGCTGCTCATAGCAAGAGGTGGACGGTTGGACTGGATGATCTTGGAGGTCTTTTCCAACCTTGGTGATTCTATGACATTCTATGGCCATTTGACAACTAAACCTGTGTGTGCTCAGCAAGCAGAGCCCTGGAAGGATTCTTCTACTGAAGGGATTTTTTGAATTGTCATTATTTTTAAAGTAAACCTCAGGGATGTCCCTCCTTAACAGCCAAAAGCAGCACTGGTTTAACAAGGACTGGTTGAATGCATGCAGGAAGCCTAACAATAGCACTAAGAACCTGATACTTCATTAGGGAACAGCAGGGAATCTGACCACGAGGCCCCATGACTTTGTTGGTAGCTATTCTGGGTCTCTTCCACCTTAGTTCCTCCTTGAATTATCTGGCCCATTTCCTCTGCCAGCGTAGGAGGGCTCTGGTTTCACTGCAAACAGCACAACTATGCTGAGAGGCACTGGGGAGTACAATTCCCCCCCTTGGATGGTACATTCAGGAATGTAAGGAGGCAAGGAGGCAAACCCTGGGACTGAAGAGATGGATGGGCTCTGGGGGTGTCCTGACTGAAGGAGCAGAGTGAATGCAGTCATCCCAGCATCCTCTCTGCAGCTTCAAGGCATCAAAGCAAGAGAAGTCTGCAAGAAGAGAACTGTCAGAAGATGAACTTTCCAAAGCCAAGCTTCACCACCTGCTGTGGAAGGTGTTTTGTACAAAATACAAACCTGACACTTTCAAGTTGCCTTGCTCTGGTATCACAAAGAGAAACGCAGAAGATTTTTTTTTATATTAATAATCAGAAGCAAAGGAAACTCCAAGTTATTTCTTCTGCCTTTATGAGCCACAGCAACGATAAAAACGCAGCAGCACTTATTAGGAAGCCTCTTACAGAAAGCTTTCCTGTGAAATTGTTTGGAAATAGCACAGAAACCCCACTGTGACTGCATGAGCATGCTGCAGAAGAGGGCTGCTATCCAGATATGCTGTCCAAAGCAGAACTCAGGCTGTCAGAACACAAAACCTGAATTCAACCAGTGTGATTTCCTTCTGTCCAGCCATCCCCATGATCTGCAGGTGGCCTTAAGGTGGGAGAACAGCAGCACACACTGCACTAAGGTGGGTTCTGCTGCTAAATGAACCATATAGGTTTGTTTCCCAGCAGAGGGCTTGGTTTGTTCACATCTTTCCTTCCTCCATCACCCATCAAGCAGCATCTCCTCCTTCATTAACACTCTCACTGGGTCACGGAGCTGATCTCTTGTAACAGAATTATGCAAACTGTATGCCATGCAACTACAACGCAAGGACTTCAGGCGTTCTGTTTAGGAGGAAAGTTCAACAAGTTACTATAGCAATTTTGCATCCAGGATTGAGCAGGCTCAGTATTTCCTTACAAACTATGCTTGTGAGGTAGGTGAAAAGCCTCTTCTCTCCAGCAATTGCTTGCAAGCTCCCAACTTACATAGGTAAAGTCGGGCTTTCAGAGGAGAAAAGATTTGAAGTACACATTTCCCTGAGTACAGTTCCACACAACAGAGTAATTGGAACATCTGAAGAAGTCCACACAGTCCTAAAGAGAAGTCAGGCACTGGAACAGGCTGCCCAGGGAGATGGGAGAGTCACTGTCAGTGGGGATGGTGGGGATGACTGGGTTGGACTCGGGGATTTTAGTGGTCTTTTCCAACCTTAATGATCCTACGATTGGCCATGGTGGTGATGGGGTAATGTCTGGACTAGAATCTTAGAAGTCTTTTTCAACCATAACAATTCTGTGACATATTCTTTTCAACTATTTTAGCTTGCCCTAGATCCTGTTTAAGTGGATCTTCAACTAGCAGCTAAACTTTCTACAGCTCTAAAAACGAGGATCACAGGCAAACACAACCCACGTGGGATCACTGTCAGCAGAGGGGGGATCACAGGCTTGTGCCCAGAGCCCGAGTGACATACAAAACATGGCTGGAACTGGGCTTCACTTTAGATACAGCCACTCCCCTCTTTCCATGCTGAGTCATCCCTGGATAATATTGTGCAGCTGCCAGACACCACCAAGCAATAGACTGAGTGATCCTTTGTGCAGTTTATGAAATTGTATGAAATATTTTTGCCTCTCTGGCACAAAAACAGGTTCCAGGAGTGTTTTCACGGGGATATCTTACTTTTCATGGGATCTTGGCTCAGTGAGGAGCCTAAGATTTAACTAAAAAGAGCTGGCCTAAAAGCATCTGTATCCAGCAAGCTGTGTTATGTTAAGACACCACAGAAGGGCACTCATGTGATCAGCTCCAGGGAAATGCCAAAACTCACCATAGAGAGCCGTCCAAGTTTGATTGATTACATCTAGACATACAGTTCCTGACCTGAAACACATGGAAAAGATGGAATTAAACACAAGCATGCTCAGAAACACACTGCAGATTTAACATAATCTATCTCCCTTCCCTTGCCCTGCCTTCACCCCACTCTTTCAGATAAGGAGTGATTTACTCTTACCCTGTGGCTAATGGTAAGGAAGTTAACTTGAGATGCACTGTGGGCTGTTAGATTAGATGAAAGCATGGCTGAACTCACTCTCAAACTACTTCCAAGCTATGGACACAGCTACAGTTAGACAAAATTCTGAGCAAAACCACATGCATGAGGGATTTACTTACGCTTCATCGATGTTAGGATGGAAAATTTTATTCATGAATCCTGCAAGAGACACAGTGGTAAATAGCAGAAAACAGCCAAAGCTTCTTTTCTTTTAAAAGCCATGAGAAGTCTGGAATGAACTGAACAAGGACTCAGCCCAGCAGTTTCACAGAGAACCCCTACTTTGCTATATATAACTGTGTAACTCTCCACAATAAGCAGGCAGCATCCTGACCCCAGGGTCCTCAGTCATTCCCCTGAGCTTCACCCAAACCCCAAATTACAGCAGAACCACAGCACAGATCTTAAGCTCAACATTTTCTTTAAGCTTATTATTTGACAGTGCTTTCTTTGCTCTCACAAATTAAGTTGTCCAAAATAATTCCTGTGGCTTCCAGAAGTATGAAACCATGGCAGGAGATGCCTGACACTTTAAGACACCCCTGGTTGCTGCTATCAGATGTGAACCCACGCCTTTCAGTCCTGCAGTTCAACCTTGAACTAAAGACAGGACCCCAAAACGCACCTCCTTTTCCTAAAAACAGAGCTTAGAAAACAAACAAGGAGATTACAGGGATCGTAACATGCTTCACTTGGCAATAGAGCCTACATACAAGCAGAGTCCATCTATAAAAACAAACCCCATCTACCCCAAAAGCAAAGTTAAGAATTTCAGCCAACGACTGGGCTGGATGCAGAACTTTGCTCTTCCCTTCTGATAGGAAGAAGGCAAAAAAACCCCAGTGAGGAACACATCCCCATGCAGAAGGGACAAGGAGCCCAGGACACAGAATTGGGTTCTCGAGTTGGTTCATTGGAAAACAGACAGTGTCCCCCTACATACTTCTGCTTTGCAGGCTCTTTTTGGGATACTGACTCAATCCAACCCCAAAGCTCCTCAAAACACATCAAAGTTCTCTCTCCAGAGCAGCAATACCTTCTCCCAGGCTCTGTCTAGCCCTGATGCATCACTGATGTAGCGACTGCAGTGAGTGACAGCACGGCTCCCATCTGGCTAAGAGCTGACATATGGATTTAACTGCCTTCCCTTCCATGTATTATGACACAAATATAATTCCATGTTTACTCCTACTACTTGGATTTCACATAAATACAAGGCTGCCTGAAAGCAGAACCATCTCTGCAAGAAGAACTGCATACACAGCCTCAGCTAACAAGTGGCTTTTGGGACCATTCTGTGATTTAGCTTGAAAAACTGAAGCAGAATTCAAAAGGGAAATTGCAGTTCCATCAAATATTTACACCCAGGTGGCTCCTGCAGGTGGCTCCTGCCGGTTTAAACTGGGTCGTGGATCCACTGTGACATACAGAGGAGAGATGTAACCAGCAACAGATCCCAGTGCTAAATTCTGTCTGTTTTAGAGAGAAAAATAATAGCTTTGGACAAAGCAAGAGAGAATGCAGCAAAAGCCACAAAGCAGGAAGGATAGGATGATAACACGTAGACCTGCTGAAATAAGTGCTGTCTGGTCTGGATTCTGGGATGGGGATCAGACAGAGAGGGGCAGGCATCCCTCTGCTTTTCTCCTTTGGGGATTTTCTGATCTCAGCTGTTTCCTTGCATCTTCCTCCACAGTCAGCTACAGTTGGCTGTGCTGCACAAAAACCTGCATGGGTTTGGTTGACTGCACCCATGCTCCAGTGTTTAAGCCAGACTCGATATCCAGAGATGAGATGAAGCAGCTCCTGCACTGGAGATTCATAAATCTTTTCTGCCACCTTTGCATTTATCCAGGCAAAGAACAACCCCTTCCTTCACGCTGTCCTTGGTCTCAAGCTGCTCACATTAAATAGCTGCTTATCAAGAAAGAGCACAAACATCCTCTCCCTGCTCTCCTCATTTCCTTGGCTGCTGCAACATCTCACAGCTCTTCAGTGTCCCATCCAGCCCTAAAATCCAATCTTTGGGTGGAATTCCAGCAGCAGAGTGACTGCAGCCCACGTTTTCTATATGGACACACAGAGCCAGGTTTGCATCTGAAGGTAAAGCAAGACTGGATGAAATCTGTATTGACAAAAAGCCTTTGGGTGATAACAGGAGAAAAGAAAAAAAAAAAAGACTGAAAAAACATTTACAAAGGGGTCATACAACAGAAAGAGACGTATCTGTTCCACTACTGGGAGATGCTGGGACTAATATGCAGATGCTGACCTTCAGGAACAGCAGTATTTCAGCAACAGCCCTGGAGTAATCAGCCCTTGGGCTGACAAAGTCATTGAAGAGAAGGGTATTTGTGCACACAAAGTCAGCTAGCTGGCAGGCTGTCCACCTTCCCTTGGTGCTGCCAAAGCATAACTTCCATACAGCCCTACAGCTGGATCTATTCCAGTAGAAACTGAAGTTCTTCCACTGAACTCCTGCACTGACCTTGGATGACCATTGCTCACCCCACGCGTTGGCTCTCCTTGCTCATGCAGTAGGGCAAGTTGGGCATTTCCCTGCTTGAACTGAATGCATGTTTATCTCTATGCAACACTTCTTCTCTGAGGAATCATAGAATCACCAAGGTTGGAAAAGACCTAAAAGATCATCCAGTCCAACCGTTCACCTATTCCCAATAGCTGCCACTAAACCATGTCCCTCAACACAACATCCAGTCTTTCATGGACAGTCAGGCATTAGAACAGACTGTCCAGAGAAGAGTCACCATCCCTAGAGGGGTTCAAGAAATGAGGAGTTGTGGCACTCGGGGACATAGAGGTGATGAGGTTGATGGTTAGACTTGACAACCACAGAGGTCTTCTCCAACTCATCACCAGAAGAGCTTGCGTAGGGAACAGAGAGCTCAGGAGCTGGGCTTTTCCTCTGCTTTTGGTTGAGGAACTGTGGTAGGAGATGGAGGAGGGGTCAGGAGAGTACTAGTGCCCCACTGCTCCCTGCATTCCACCTGAAGATTGGGATTGATGGTTTAGGAATCCCAGACCTGCCCACCATGGTCCAGCACTTTCAGGTCGATGATTTCTCACCAGCAAATGAAAGAATATATATACATATTTTAAATGAAATGTGGAGGCTAGGAGCTCATGCAGAGCACTGAGTCAAATATAATCTGCACCAACTGTGGAGGCATTCATCAAGTGGTGGCAGGAGGGGCTGCAGAACATCAGCTCGCTAACAGAAGGACAGTTTATATTACAGCACTCAACTTTTAGGAGCTTCTCAAAACAATACTATAAATAATTCGGCAGCAGCTTCACGTTGGGAATATCAGGACAGAAAAATATGGCTAGAGGTGTTGGAAATGGTATCACAGCTGTAAACTCCAGGCCCTCTGCTCAGTGCAAATCACTTTTTGGAAGGAGAAAAGCAGAAGCACCGGTTGCTAAGCTAAACGAGCACAAAAACAATTGCCCCAAATCAATTCATCTCATTGCTTAGGTGCACAGTCACCTGATGCCCAGACTGGCACAGAAGGTGGTGAATCTGTGCCAAGTCTGGCTTGAAAACACCTACCCCCATTTTGTCAGCCTGTTCCCATTCTCTGACTGTAGCAGGAAACCTGCAGAGGGTGCACAGCGTGCGTCAGAGAGGAGTGGAGACGGGGATACAGATTCCCTTCAGGTGTCTCATCTTTCCCTGCACACAAAGATAAGTATATTTGGGAGAACAAACATCTTCCCATCGCTTGCAGGTCAGAATTGGGATCAACATGCATTGCTCGGAGCAGTCACGGGTAAGAAGCGACTCATGAGATTCCGAGCAGCAAAATGCAAGGCAATCCAGAGAGGAGCTGGAAGGAAAAAAAAATATAGCAGCTGCAGTTAAAAAGAAGAATTAAGCACAGGCCAGGAGAGATGCGACAGATCCTGGCTGGAGCTGAGCGCTGCCTCGTTGCTGTATGGGTGCCACCATCTCTTGGTGGAGATGCACGCATATAAAAAGGAGTGGAAGCGTGTGTGAGTGCATTTTGTTATGGAAAGTGCTTGGGAGAAAAGGAAAACACAGAGGAAAGACACCTGCACAGAGCAGAGATGGAAGGAAAATGAGAGCTGTGCATAAGTACAAAGTTCTTGGAGAAACTGAGCTCTCTGAGCATGCTGTGCACAAACTCTGATATTTGATTACCAAGAAATCAGATCTAATTTTTCTGTAGGTTTTAGCAACAAAGTAAACACTTAGGAAAGAACTCAGGTTCCCACATGCACACTATCACTGCTCTGAGCATCTAACAGGGCAGGACATACACCCTGCACTTCTTCCTTACGTGCCTGTGGTATCAAAGAGCTCTTGGCAGGGATACAGACAGATTAAAAACATGCAAAATGGACACAAAGTTCTCTTGTGAAGTACTGGAAGCACTGCTCTGAGCTTCCATGTCACAATTCCCCTTCGGAAAAGCTGAAAGAGAGTGGGCACAGAGTTCCCCTGAAGATAACAAATCCCAAAGGGAAGAAGAAAGCAGTGAAGCAGCGCCAGCTGAAATGAGAAACAACTCAAGATATACTGTCTAGCAGAATGCAAAAATGGAAGCAAACATTGAGCAAGGGAGCACTCTGTGCCCTTAGAAGCACGCAGGGATATTTACATCAATTGACAAAAGCATTACGAGCAATGTTCAGCAGCTCCAAAAACCAACTGGGTGTTTTCCAGGGGGTTGGCTTTGCTTTAATAAACACATTGCTCAAGTTCAGGAGGTCTGCTGGAATTTTGAAGGTGGGGATTTGGTGACTGTAAGCAGAGCTGATCTCAACAGGAGCACTCAAGCCCAGAGGCAGTATGAGAGCACTGCTCTATGTAGGTGTGCACTCTTATTCTCCTCTTGTCTTGCTAGGAAAAGACTCCAGCACCCAGGTAATACGGAATGGCACAGCAAAGCCTGAGCAAGAAACAGGTGCTACCAGAAACACCAGAAAGCTGCTGCACCCTGGCAACCCTCACAGGAACTGCTCTTTTCACATAGGTCCCAAGGTGGTTTAGCTCTATAAATGCATTGTCAGGAGAGCACTGTCCCTGAGGTGGCATCATTTAATTGGCAACAGTGATAATTACCAACCTGAGAAGAACAGGAAATAAACGCTATGAGAGGTGGGAGCTGTGGATGGGATGAGGGAGCAGAGATTTAACAGGTGGGCAAAGGCTCCTTCAAGAGACAGCAGCATCCTCAAAGGCAAAGAGGACCACTGCTCTTTTAGGTTTTAAGAAAAGCTCTGTGTCATCACAAGCCCTAAATCCAGAGCCTCTTCTTGTTCAGCTGTGCTAAGCACACGTTGGAAGAAAACACAAAGTTGAGCTGGGCTAAGGTTTCACCTACAAAAGCAATTGCAAGAGATTGGAGGGCAACGATTAGCAGTCATTTTTCCACAAGTGGCTTTCCAGAATGCGTGGATATGCTTCCAGCCATTGTGTTCTTTGCTGCAAAAAGCCAATGCTATGTTGAAGACTGCATTTAGAATTTCTGAGGCTGGAAGAAAATGTTAGCCTACAGCTCTACAGAACGAGGAAAGCTGCTGCAAGAACAGTATTCCTACTTTAAGCTTCAGCATAAAAGAGTAACATATTAAAGGAATAGAAGCTGATTTCTTTCTTTATACATCCCAGTGACTTACACAGACTGTTTGAACTCTGTGTCATCGCTGCAGTGGGATCTCTGCAGTGATGAGAACAGACAAGCTGCAGACAAGCTATGCTTGTGCTTTAAGTGACCTTTCTGTCTACTCTGGGGCTCCACCATCTCTGAAATCCTTCAGATTTCTCCCCACTAACTCCTACCCTGTGTTACCCAGAGCTCAAAGCGCTCGAGGACATCTGGGTTGGGATTCTCATTCTCCCTGGAACTGCTCTCAGCTGATGGGGAGAGAAGAGGACCTTGTCTCACTCCTGAGCTTGTTTCCAATGATTCAGCAGGCTGGAGGCTTGTTTGGAGTTATTGTAGTTATCAGCACAGCCCAACTGCATGTCTGCCTACAGGAACAGCGCTGCAGAGATCAGAGTGGCCCAAAGGAAGGGGCTGAGACATTGCTTGGCTCTGGCTGCCCCGATAAGCTGGGCTGGAGCAGCTGAAACAGGAGTCAGACAATGAAAAACAAACCTTTTCCTGCAGCTGGTGGGGAGCTTCCCTGGGTCCCAGCGCCCCCATTCCCCCAGTTTCTCCGCCCTGTAGCTGAGCTCTATGCCAGCCCTTGATCTAGCATCGACTGTTTATTCAACCTGAAACCTAAGCTACACACTGCTCTACCCAGGAGGGAGCCAGCAATGTTCTCCTGGGTGCCAGCAATGCAGCCCTGCAGCAGCGTTCAGCCTTTTGGGCAGCTCAGCAAGAGGAGCAGTGCTTTCAGCTGTATAAACAGGGACTTGGAAGGCAATGCTGGAGGGGGTCTGCTGAGCCCAGAATGGGGTAGGAAATGGATGGAAAGATGTTGTGCTAAAAAAAGATGTTAGAAGGGACAAAGCAACTCAAAAGCAGGGATACAATGAAGTTGGGCCAGCTCTCAGCCCAGACTGCCTTTAACTCCTCTGTACTCCAAAACCCTAAAGCTAAATCACCAAAAGTTCAACCCTACCTCCTCCTTCAGAACAGTAACTGAAGTCTAAATCAAAAGCAATGCAAACGCACGAGAGCCTCGTTTAGCTGTGTTGGATTCCCAGGGTACTGGGAAGAGAGTTTGTTTTTGTGCTATGTCAACAAGCTTGATTCAAAATACACACAGGAAGAAAGAAAAATGATCCTCAGTAGACTTGTAGCAAAGCATTTAACAACAAAGAAACTGGAGTTTAGGGCTTTGTCTGCAGCCTGCTCATGTTTAGGACTGTCAGTGTGGGCACCTGTTTGTGAGAAGGAGAAATGGAGAGGGGACAGTGAGCAGCACTGAGTAACACAGTGTGCACCTCAAACTGTCTCCAATTTAGGAGGTTTATAGGAGATTTCAGAGCTGACTCAGGGAGGAGCAGAAAATGGTCAGTGTAGCTGCAGCAGCACCATTCATTGCTCAGCTGTGTGCATGCTGCTGTGCTTCAGTCCAGCTTGCAACAGAAAAAGAAAGGTAAAGGGTTGGGTGAAAAACAACACTGCTCTTTCCCAAAAGGCACAGTTTACTGTGGGAAGAAGACATTACTTCTCACACTCACATAGGATTTTAAATAGATGGCAGCCTTAAGTTGATGTCTATTTTAAGAAAACAGCCAATACTCATCAGCTCCAAGTCAGGATGTTGATATTGGATGGGACCCATCTGGTCCACCCCGTACAGTCATGTTCCCACATCACTTCTCTCAATTCTTCAGTCCCCTCTGATGCCTTCAGCCACAAGCACACCCTTCCAGGAAAGAAATGCCACAGCACTGAGTTACCAGCACTTATTCTGCAAGCTAGAATATTAAAATTTGACCATTTGTGCATCTGCTCCAGTTTTTCAAGCAATAGTGGCTATTTACAGCCTAAATGATTGAAGAAGTTTGCTACTAGAAGACATCTGAGTCAGATCACTGTTACTCAAGGGCAGAGATAGATGGATACAGTCTAAAGAACATTTCCTTATCAAACTTCCCATTTGCTCTCCAAAGTGAAACAGGTCCAATCAGTCTGGCCAGCTGCAATTCCTCTGCTGATAAATCCCTGCCTCTATATTCTTCCACACAGGCATCACCCCGTCCAAGAGGACAACAGCTTCAGCCCCTGCCTTCGTTTCCATGCACTTCAAGGTTGTGACAGAAAGTGATTATTGGTTACCTATAGATGGGGATTTGAAGGGGTATTTATCAGGAAGGTCGACTCTAACTTTCCATACTCCACCTTCATATGGTGCTGCAAGGGAAGAAACACAGGTATTAAACATGCTTCATAACTCAGGAGAGAATAAATAGAACAACAGCAATAAACAAAACACATCTTTGGAGGAACACTCAAGTCCCCACCAGAGGGTAAGATTTCACACTGAACCTCCTATGGTAAAAGCCTTCTGCCTGTACTGTCTCAGAAGAAATACTTGATTTTAAGCTATACTGCAAAAGATCTCTGCACAAAGGCCCAAGAGCCTTATTCTAAGCACAGAGTTTGAATAAGCTACTTAACTTTAGAGATGTTGCTAAATTAAGGCATGCTGGAGACCTGACTTGTAATCTTAGTCAATGGAAAAGCAACCATCATTACCAACTCCACAAACATTCAGATGATGGCGATGCAAAACTTAAATCACTCTGGAAGAGTCAATGATTAATGAGTGCTGAAGTCACAGCAGGGGGCTTGGTGGTCGATGCCCAAAGCTGTTCAGCACCAAGCAGTTGATCTACACTGCATTTCCCCCACCCTTGAGAGCACCACTCTTCACGTCTCACTCCCATTTGGATTTGTTCAACCATTCCTTTGCTCCAGACATCACGGCACTGAGAAATACGGGGATGACTGTGATGAGCAGTTGGTTGGGACTCAGTGACCACAGTGGTCTTCTCCAACCTGAATGATTCTATTTAGGGATGTGGTTTAGTGAGCATGGTGGGGATGGGCTGATGATTGGACTCGGTGACCTTAGAATCATTAAGGTTGGAGAAGATCTCTAGGATTCTATTTAGGGATATGGTTCAGTGGTGGGGATGAGCTGATGGCTGGGACTTGGTGATCACAGAGGTCTTTTCCAAACTTAATGATTCTATATCCCCCCCCCCCACACTATGAACAGTTAGCTTCTTTTCACAGAAGAGATGTGACATGTACTTACTTCCTTGTGGTCCATAAAACTTCACGACAAATTCATTGAGTCCTCCTAAGATCGTGACCTCGTGTTTGCTCTCAATCCTGATATATCAAGTAAAGGAAAACATTGAAGCAGAGAAACAAAACCATCAACTCAGAGAGGAGCAACCTGCTGAAAGCCTGTGAAACCAAACAGTTTAAGCCCAAACATCCCAAGTACCTGACAGCATGCAATTTGAGCATCCTGACTGCTCACGCTGGATGTTTACCCCCCTGCCTGGATTGGAGAAGCGGAGTTCTCCTCAATTCCTACTCTGACAAATGCTGATGAATTCCATTCTACTTGGCTGCCTTCGGTGCTGTCAGATTGGCCTCCCACAGCTACGATGCAAATGACAGCAATCTCATGTTAATTTGACTTGCAGGACCAAAAAACTCGGCGTCTTTGGAGAGATGGCAGAAGGGTGAGATTCTAAGGCTCCAGCTAAAAGAACAACAGTATTTTCCAACACCTAAAGGAAAGAATCGAAGTGCAGTGCTTTGGGTAGAAAGGAATACAAACTAAAAGGTGAGAGATTTCCATTCCACATAAGGCTCAGTTAAGACAATTAGCAGTGATGTTTTGGCACCCAAGCTTGCTGAAGAATTCTGCTACCACTCAGGGTTAACGGATTGTGAATAATATCCTACAGTGATCACCTTTCATCAAGAACCTTAATATAAATTATGAGGGAAGCACTGGAAACAACGGGGCAAGAAGAAATCAAAGGTTTACCGAACTTCAGATTGCCTCAGCACCCCTGAGGCAACCCAGCTTTGAGATAAGGGGATGGCCATGAACCTTACATGCCCCTGACACACCAGGAACTGCTCAGGACCCAACAGAAGGAGCCAATAATTCCCATCACCAGCCACGATCCCACATTATGATCTATGGGAAGAGGCTGATGGATCCCCAAATGACCCAGGAGCACGCACACGTAGTCGTATATACAAGAAATCCAAGCTTCATCTGCAGCACACATCAGGATTTACAGCAGTTCCTGACTCACGATGACTCTCAGACTGGAGAAGAGTTTTTCCCACACTTCTGACTCCAAAAGACTTTGGCTGCAACCACCTTCTTCCTCATTCTCATGGGGAGGGGAGAAAAGTGTACAGCAATTTGGGATCGGGAGATTTCTGCTAGCTGCTCTGCCCTGCAGCTCAGCAGCAAGGATCTCACTGCACCTGGCTGACACCTAGAGCAGCTCACAGAGGGCAGATCAATCCCTTTCTGCCCCAAGTTCCAAGTGATTTCTCTGCTACAAGCCGGATTTCTTTGCACATCCCTAAAGGATATCCTTCCACATCACCCTGTGGAAAGCACTGCGTTTTAAACACAGTCTGAATTCCTTTGAAAACACAAGCACTTGTCTAATGGATAACTATTCCACCTTCAGAAAGGGGCTCTCCCACAAACCCTTTGTGTGTGATGATGCCCAAGAGTGAAACGTTTACTACTGAAGTATGTTAACACTTACAGCAGCTTTGCAGATCAAGTTAAAAACAAATGGTTTTAGTTAGGACTAAATCAAGTGCCACTTAATAAAAAACAGCTCTCCAAGCCTGATCTTCAGAACAAACTCTTGAGCAGCTGCAGCACGCATGCTATTCGGCTGCACAAGTTAATGCTGATCATAAATAAAAGAGTTTTCTGCGCTGAGACTCAAGTCCAAGTTAGAAAACCTACGAGCAAGTGATGCAGTGCCATATTTGATTGTTCTCCCTGTTGTGACAAGGCCCTTAAATCCCAATTAATAAGAAGAAAACATGGAGATATGGCACTTGGGTACCTGGTTTAGTGGGTATGGTGGGGATGGGTCTCGATGCTTGGATTAGATGGTCTCAGAGGCCTGTTCCAGCCTTACAACAGCTCTAATGCATTTTTCCCAGGATGGTTATTCTCTCAGCAGGACAGACGCAAGAAGTAGATGGGATGCAAACCTGTGCAAAGTCATCCTAGGATTTCAAAGACCATCAGCATTTGTGGCAAAAACCACATAATCCTCACCTTACCTAATTCTACTCTGTTCAAACGAACTCCTCTGCGCCCAACATTGCTTGTTGCTGCACTCACTATGTAGATTAGCAGAAAAAGAACAATCTGTTAATGGAAAAAAGCTTCACTATTCTTGATTCCAGTGGCAAATCCTGCTGGTGTGAACAGCCTGCCTTGTTTCCAGGACAGGACACACAGTGTGTGTCACACACACTGGAGCAAGATTAGAGCTGTGTAGCCACCCTGCAACTCATCCCATGTGCTCAAACATTGAATAAAATACAGAAATCTCTTTCAAGATTCTCAGCTTGCTCCCACAAATCCAGGCAACTAATGGCCACCTTATCACCTATGTATACTGCTTTGACTTTGTGACAAATACAGTGCAGAAGTCGGGAGAGAAGAGCACAACCTGGACACAAGTGCCTGTTTCTGGTGGATAAGGGTTTCAACAGCATTACCTTAAGAGCACAGCAACCAGGAGGGAGTCCCGAGGACCTAAAGACAAATTATCTCAGCCCCACGTCTGTTAAGGGAGTTTTCAGTATGTGCTGCAAATATTTTATGTCATGACACGGAAAGCAAAGCCTATTTTCAAATACCAGTTCAGAAGAGGTTGCTAGGAGAGAGACAAAAGGGAATTTTTTTCTGCAGCTGATTGCAGGCTCCCTATATAATGCCTGAAACGTGCCAGAAACGCAAAGGCCAACTGTACTACCTATTAGCATTACAGTAACATCCAGAGCCCCCTATCAAGATCAAGGCTCTATTGTTCAGGGGTTGAGCTAGTAGAAAATCATTGCTTCGGTCAGAATCAGAAGAGATTTAAAGCATTTTGTCCCAAAGCAGAATAGGCAAAAATACAACAAAACAACCCAACCACACAAATCTGGAGGGTTAGAGACTGACCGAGCACGCCAGAAATAGACCCACTGCTGTGGGTTTGCCTCTCACAGGGTCAAGTTCCCATTCCCTCATCCTCCCACGTGGCTTCGCGCGAGGCCACCCACTGCCATTGACCTGCAGCAATCCTGCAGGAATGAAAAGCTTTGTCAGGATACGGCCTTAACCCCAGTTCTCCCCAAAAAATCCCAGATGCACATTGTGGCCAACAGATGGCCAGTCTGTTTGCAGGGCTGAGTGGTTTTTTTTCCCCTGGCAAACGTTGAGCCTAAATCAAAATAAAAAGCATCCCACTCTTAAGTTGCCTTGAAATTCACCTCGGTTTGAAGCCTGGGCAAATCAGTTTTCCAGCTACAAGTACTACACTGAAAATACTTGTGAGCAATCTGAGCATCCTGATTGTGCTGTAGATGTCTCTGTTCATTGCTGGGGAGTTGAACTAGATGGCCTTTAAAGGTCTCTTTAAACTCAAACAATCTGAAAACCCCAGGCTAACCACAATGAGATCATTAAAATCCATTGGTTTCCCCCCCCCCCCAAGTTAGTGATCCTCACTGCCACAGCTTTCAGTGCTTCTTGGCACACAGCACATCCATTTCTGGTGCAAGTACACTGCAAAGCCAGGTTGGATGGGGCCCTGGGCAGCCTGGTCTGGTATTAAACGTGGAGATTGGTGGCTCCACATGTGGTGGGGGAGCTGGAGCTTCATGATCCTTGGGGTCCCTTTCAACCCAAGCCATCCTATGGTTCTATGACACTGCATATGAATCATGGTGGAGATATCCACAACGCTGTCAGGGAAACACTGGGGCAATTTGCAGTTTGTCCTCATGCACCTGAGGCAAATCCAGACTTTCCTTTGCTTGTATAGGGTTTGTCTGAGAATCCCTCTGCTCTGGAAGGCAAAACTCACCTAAATCCTACAGCAGAGAAAAGGGGAAGTGCACCACAGAGGCCCCACTTGCAGCAAGACGGCGACTGTTACTGCAACTGAAAGTGCTCTATAAGCTGAAAACCAAATGAATAATTGAAGAGGAACCTATGCTGGGTTGCTGTTATAGTTTGGATATGCACACTGCTGATATGTAATACGCTGAAGGTGGGACTGAGGATTTTGGGAGCAGAAGCTGCCACTTCTCCAGACTGGTTTGCATCCTTTGGAGCTCCTGATGAACTCTGTCTGGCTGTTGTGCACTAAACTTCACGCCAAGAAACTGAAGTAATGAGCATAAGGTAGAAAAGACAAGCCAGCCTTGTTTCCCAGAAGACATTTTGCAGGAGTAGTTTGCTATCAACTGATTCAGGATCAACTTTTTCCCTACAAAGAGGATACTCTGGGTTTCAAAGTGGTCTTCTTCTAGCAGAAGTGAAGGGAACGACCAACAGGCAATGCAAAGTGCATCCCACATCTTGCTGGGTGGAGCAATACCATCCTTATGCCCCAGGAAATGAAAGAACTCACTGTCCCCCACATACTGTTCCCTTGAAAAGTCTCAGTTTGTTAAGAAAAAGAGACAGGAGACAGATACAAATTCTTGCTGTCGAGAAAAAAAGGCTGGACTCAATTCATCCTTCACAATCAGATTAGATGAGAACACAATTAGTGTCGTTCTGACAGCAGACAACAGCACTGCAGCTCAACTCCAGCTATGCACTGCTGATTAGCGTGCAGTTCATTTGCATTTGGAGATGAGGAAGAACATGACACACACAAGCATCAGGCCCTCATTCTACCAGGTATCGTGAAGAAAGATGAGAAGATGCACAGAGCCAAAGAAACACCTTGTGATTTGCATCACAGCAGAGCTTTTCTGAGCTATATGGTCTGGTCAGTTCCAGGAGAACTATGATGAAATTACTTGAAACTGCCCTGTGCGAGCACTGCTGAAGAAAGGTTGCTATCAGTCAAGAAGAAGCTGATGGACAAGATTACTGAATGTGAAAGGAAAGAATCAGACCTGGTGGAAGGGATTAAGAATGAAGTGGAGCTGTTGGAGTAGGTCTGGAGGAGAGCCATGAAGATGCTCAGAGGGCTGGAGGAACTCTGCTAAGAAGGCAGGCTGAGGGACATGAGGGTTTGCAGACTGGAGAAGATTGTCTAATCTTTAAGGTTCCTTCCAACCCGATTTTATGATCTCTGTGGTCCCCTCCAACCCAA